CCCCCCCCCCCCCCCCATTGGCTCACCATGACTGTGTACTGAGCGGCAACGCCCGCCATGACCGGTCGGGGCCTTCGAGCGACGGCGACGAAGTCGTCCAGGGTGAGCGTCATTCCCATGCAAACCTGAACACACGAGACGATAAAAATAAAAAATAAGTGCCGGAATCGCACTTGCAATACGCAGGTCCTCCGTGATTTGGAAGTAGGACTCCTCTTCGAGAATGTCTCTTTGCGCCTTGATTGGGCGGGGGGTTCTTCGTACATGATCGCTTTGTTCGCCGCAATTATTGGGTACATGACATAGAACCGGGGGGCGGGGGCGGGCAAGGTTCGATGACTTTTAACGTTCAACCTGAAACGATGGTGTTGATGATGGCGATGGTTGTCATGATGATGTTTTTTCGAGGACAACGAATATTTCTCTCGGTGCCGCCAAGGGTTGGGATGACATGAAATAATCCCGCTGTGGAAGTTTTGAAATCAGCTGGAAAACAAAAGGGGGGACATAATATCCTATGTTCTCTCGGGCGGGAGGGGGGGCGCACCCTTGAAGCACGCTCCGATAAGTCGATAATTTCAACCCAAGCTCACCATGGTCGTGGCCAGAGCCGCGGTGATGAGGCCGCTGTTGAACCACGAGAGCGCCGCCGGCCTCAACATCCCGACGGCCGCGGCTCCCAGCACCCACGCAGGAAACAGCGACGTCGCGCGATCGCACCTGCAGAACAAACGAAACGGGGAAGCACCGTCCGTTGAGGGTTGTGTTATTGTTGTTAATCTTGTTGCCCACGAGGGGTCTTGTCGGCCTCCCAGTTTGATTCAACCCTTTGCAAGAACCCAATGTTCTTTGGGCAACTGGAATTCGCCTGTGTCGTGTGATATTCCGCTGGCGAGGACGACGGCTTCAGGGAGTTACACGAGGCAACGCTTTCTGTGTAGTTGGCCTACAACAACAAACTCCGTCTGCGCCAGCCAGAAGGACCGGGACGGGCGGATGTTTGAAGGCACTTACCAGACACTGGGAAGGGTTTGCAATATGAAGAACACGACCATCCAAACAACGCACGAACGTCGGATAGAGCTATTCTTTGTACCACACACCCTCCCCTGTGGGAGATTAACCGATGGTCCGCACGATCTGATCACAAAGCTCTCTTTCAGAAAATATCCAACAATCAAAGGAAGACTTTCCTATTCGAGATAATACCGCAGAGTCGAAGGGCATGTGATGGAAGTCTTTTCAGTGAGTGCGAAGAAAACCTGCTTGATACTGGGCTTATTACGGGTGGGTCTACGTAAAGGCCTACACAGTCGGTGGTTGTAAATAGCGGTAGGTGGTGACGAAAGGTTTTGGTGCCGCTTTTGAGGGCAGTGCCGCTATTCTTATTTAGGAGTCGTGCTGAGAAATGCATTTGTGCCAAGCTATTTCGATGCTGCTATAGAGGGCATTCCGCTTTTGAGGGCACCGTTATTGAGGACCGCCGACTGTACGCTGAATTTTTATCAGTGGTGCCAGCAGGGGCTTATCACAAAAACACCGCAAAGGTTCAATTATCCAAGGCATCGCCCATCTTAGTCTTCTACTATCTACTGGGGCAAAGAAAAAAATATAGGGGAGAAACCCTCCGGCACGTCGTTTTCTTTTGATCTGCGCGATCCGTATCATTCGACACTTGGTTGCTGGGATACCTGCTGTACAACGAGAACCTCGCGAGGCCTGCCTGTTCCCAGGGGGATAGGTGGACGGGCGAAAAACGGATCACTTCTACTCGTTCTCACCATTTCTTTACAGCATACTCAAAGGCCTGCAACCTCGTGGTTTTCATTGCAGGAGCACCACCACCAGCAGCGGCAGCAGTGACATCCCCCGCGCCTGATGCTGCTGTCGCTGCCAGTTTCCCACGAGGGCGAGAAGAATCCATCATGATCGGGAGCAGCATTCGCAACATCACCCGGCCTTGGTGATCTCGACGCAAGTTGGCAATCCGCTGCGCTCCTCTAATGTCTGATGATACGCAGGATCGCCTGCTTCTGGTGCCGGTGAGGCCGCTGGGCGGCGTGGGAGTGTGGAATGCGAAAGGGGAGCGACACGGCGTGCTGCCCGAAGCGTTCGCGCATGTTGGTCGCGCTGATGATGTCACGAGCAGTAACATCGTCAGGAGGAGCAATCCCATTCTTTTAGGGGCGACGGCACGATGCCAGTTATCCGCCCTCATCATTTCTGCTTCCGCGCCCTCTCCCTGCCCTCTCCCTGCTTCACCGCCCTATTGTGTGCAGTGCCCTAAAGGCAACAAGTACAGAGCTGACGAGACGGACAGGTCTGGTTCGCGGCGGGATTCTGAACGGTACGGAAGATTGGTTCCGAAAATGTTCCCACATTTTCTGAGCTCGGAGATCTGAGATCTGATCAAACGCCTAGAGATATCGCATTGTGTATAGCAACTCGACGAGTATCGTCGCGTTGCCAGTCTGAAGCTTTCGTTTTTGTCAGCGGGACGCCCGATGAGCACACACAAAAAACAGGAACCGGGGGACCCCAAAAAACAAAGCATGAAAAAGAAAAGAAGAAGCGAGAACAAAGGAGCCACAGACGCTTCAGGGAGGAGGCAAAAGAGAGCACAGAAAACCATCATCGCCGCTTGCTCTGGACCACTGGAAGCTCTCACATAGCACTGCATATGCAGCAAACATTAGGTAGGGCCCAAGTCCATTGCTTGACATAAAGAGGCAGTGCCCATCGCTTCACATGCAGCAGCCGGATGCACGGGTAGCCTCTTACTCGTTCAGCAAGAAGCAAAACGACTGCGGTTGTTGTTGTTGTTGTTGTTGTTGGTGGTGTTGTTGTTTCTCACATTAGCTCTATAGTCAACAAAAAATGGGGAGCCCGTGGTCTCAAAACCCGGCACATAGGACGCCGCGGGAAAAACAAAACAAAAATAGGGTACAAACCACTCGGAAAAAGAAAACAAAATGATAGAAAGAAAAGAAAAGGTATCGCACCGACCGTTCGAGAAAAGAGCCTTTGGAAACCGATAAAAATAAAACAAAAACAAAAATAAAGGAGGACGCTTCCCACACCCGCCCAAAGAAAAAATCAAAAGGTAACGTACCGGCACCAGGCACTACGCACCAAGGCATGGGAGTAACGGAGCAGACAGGACAAAGAGGCGGCAGATGGGCAGACAGTCAGACGTACAAAAACAAAGGCAACAGCAAAGCGAGATCAAGGTACCCAACACAGCAGAGTAGGCAGGGAGGTCATGAAAAAAAAAAACACAGCACAGAGGCCGAAGGCAATACAAAGGACATACATAAAGGAGTATAGCATTCAGCAGGGAGGGAAACAGGGCGCAACAACATCAGCCGGGTACATAGTTCGCCACAAGTGCTGCCTCGGCCGCCCTACTCGCTTCGACAGCAGTGCCCGGTCGCCGTTTCTTCCCCCCGACCGCCGCTTCCCCGGCTCTCTTTCTCGTCGGCCCTGAGATGGCCGTACTCTCTGCTTCTGCTTGCCTCGCGCGCTGGCGCTTCGCGGACGCTTCCGCCTCCTGCCTGTGCCATTTCCTCATGAACCATGCCGCCCCGTCCTCGACCTTGTTGTA